ATATATATATATACACACACATACATATATGCGAACACATGCATCTTTGGACTAGGCTACATATGTCTGCTATGTCCTGTTGAAATGTGACATGATTTGTTTGTGTACAAACTAATACGGTATCTGTATTTTATATATTTATACTTCTAATTCAACCACAGTTAAATTCATTATCTTGGAGGCACATTTTATATAGATAGTATTTATTTTTTACAAGCTGGAAGCAAAACAAGTAAAAATGAAATAATAGTAACGACTTTCTACTTCTTGCTTTTTTAAAAAAATGTAAGGAGTAGAAAGTAAAGAAAATTGTGTGAAAATGTAAGAAATAAAAAGTACACTGAAAAATAATTGCTCAAGTAAAGTACAGATACGCAAAAATTCTACTTAAGAACAATAACAAAGTATTTGTAGTTAGTTACTGTACACCTCTGGTCACCTGTTGGTTTTTTTTTAACCACGACCACAAACTCATTAATATGTGCTCACTGTCATCCTCAGAGCCCAGATGGTGCCCACCTGACCTGGGAGCCCCCCTCTGTGACGTCAGGAAAAATCATTGAGTACTCCGTGTACCTGGCCATCCAGAGCAACCAGACAACTGAGGCCAAGGCGTCAACCCCGGCCCAGCTGGCCTTCATGCGGGTTTATTGTGGACCCAACCCGTCTTGCTTGGTGCAGTCGTCCAGCCTCTCCAACGCTCACATCGACTACACCACTAAGCCAGCCATCATCTTCCGCATCGCTGCCCGCAACGAGAAGGGCTACGGTCCTGCCACCCAAGTTCGATGGCTGCAGGGTGAGCACACACGATCATGTTGTGGAAAATCAGCTTTTAACCTCTTGAGACCCATGCAAAACAGCATTTCCTGTTTTCTATGTCTTTTAAAGGGATCCATGATTAGTTGTAACATTAGACTTTATTTAATAAACATATATTTTAACTGTAAAATAAAGACTGTAAAAATACTGTAGGATGTTTAGTTTTTATCATTTTTAAGCATAAAGTTTTAACATCTATTACACGGACAGGGTCATTTTATTTACACGCAAAGCATTCTGGGTAAATGACGTGGATAGGTCCTCGGTGTGAGCGAGCTATATCCACCCTGAAGGTTAATCTTGGACAATATCTGATGATCGACTCTTTTAAATGAAACCAGAGAGCGTTGACAGAGAGGAGAAGGTAGAAATGACTCAGYCTGTAACTGAAAATATGGATGGAGGACAACAGAGCTGTTTCATGGAAGAAGAACCTCAGTTTAGCTTGTTTGTCGCACTAGCGCCGAGCTAGTACATAAGGCAATAAATCGTTGGGGCTAACACTAAAGCTAACAGGCTAAGCTGAGGTTCTTCTTCCATGAAGCAGCTCTGTTGTCCTCCATCTATATTTTCAGTTACAGGCTGAGTCATTTCTACCTTCTCCTCTCTGTCAACGCTCTCTGGTTTCATTTAAAAGAGTCGATCATCAGATATTGTGGGTGGATATAACTCGCTAGCAGCCTCGCACCGATGACCTATTTATGTCGTCATTTACCCAGAATGCTTTGTGAGTAAATACTGTAAAATGGCCCCGTCCATATAATATATTTTTTAACTTTTAGTTTAAAAATGATAAAAAAAACTAAACATCCTACAGTATTTTTACAGTCTTTATTTTACAGTTAAAATATGTTTACCAAATAAAGTCTAATGTTACAACTAAACATGGATCCCATTAACTTAAGATCTGTAAATTGATCCTTGGCATGTTTGGTATAAATAGAAAGCTAAAAATCTTGGCTAAAAGCTCATGGAAACTATATTTACATCCAACAAACACAGTTCAAATGAGAGCAGTTGAATCAGAAAGTAAATAAACTTTACAAAATGGGATTGTTGCAAATCTTTAAATACATTAAAACAAATCTGTAAATACAGTACAACAAATCTGAAGGAAAATTTTTGGACTTTTTTTTAAGTACTATATTCGTATATAATCATAATTTTTTGAGCTTAAAATTTAAAAATAATTCTAATCACCAATATCCCTTGTATAATACTACCCCACTCCAATTTATGAATGATTTTTAGGGTTGAATTTCTAGGATTATACATGAATAAATACAGTAAGTCAAAGCAGATACCAAAGGTTGTAAAGTGTGTTGAAAGTTTTTTTTTCACTTGATTCAGAGTATGATCCAACTGAAGTCAAATATAATTTCTCATTATTTTATATAATATATACGGTGACAAATAAATGTTTGGATAATTTTTTCAAAAGAACAATAAAATTTAAACAAGTCTTTTAAGGCTGAAAAGAAAAACTAAACTGTTGGATGTAAAAACTTAAGATTACTTAACATTTAATAATGGTACCATCATGGTCTGTCCTGTGCAGAATGACAAAATACAAATTTTTTTCTTTGCTAAAACCTCTGAAACTTTGCTCCACTTAAATTTAGCAGCATGAATCTTTGCACAGGTGAYGTCCACAAGTGGATTTATGGTTTAGCCTGAATCATTATGGTTTTAAATGAGTTATAATACTGTCTAATGCAATCATTATTCAGACGGGAGGAGGGAAAAATGTAAGACAATTATGTTCCATCCTCAATATCTCTAAAACCACAGCAGCTGTTTTAATACTTACACTTCTAATAAAATCTCCAAAGTGTTAACTTTATTTTGATACCAGATTATTTAAGTAGATTTTGTAAAYGCTGAGATACACTCAGTTACATTTCAGCATGGTATTTTGAGAAAAAACATCAAGAAAATCCCTTGGGGTTTAAGAGGTGAATTCATAAGCTCATTCCAACTATTGTTGTACTTGACAGAATCTGGCAAAGATGCTGCATCTGCAAAGCTTGCTCCTAAAAGACCAGGCGCCTCCCCTGATACGTGAGTACTGTGTTCATGCTGCACACTTGTGCTTTTACTCACACACGATGCACTACTGACTCTGGTTTTCTGTCTTCCTGCAGTAAGCCTGGTCCAAAGAAAGCAAGAACAGACCAGTGAGGCTGCCCAGAGAACCCCCCTCCCAGTCTTTTGTCTTTTTTTTTTTGTCCACTGTCTTTTTTTTATCAGGAAGACTGAGCTTCACTCATCCTAATCTCATCCTCCACCCCCACGTCTCAGATCAAGACTGCAACAAAGGCCGAACACCAACATGAAGCCAAGCTGAAAGTCCGTCAGAGATGTTTCTGTAGATAAAACCCTTCTTTCCTCTCCTTGTTTTGTTGGTCGTAATATTTTTAGAGCAACACAAACCTAGAAGCACATTATCTTTTTTCAGTCCCCCCCTTCCATATTTTTAACATCTTGTGTTTTTTGGCTTGTTTCAAGTAGTTGAACAGTATCTAGAAGCATTTACACTTTCCACAAACTGGGAGCCTGCCTGAGCGCAATGTTACCCTTTTTTTTTCCTGTTTTGTGAATTCTGGGGGGGATGTAGAGAGAGACTACATAAAATGTTGTACAGTGTTGAAAAATGGCTGTGGAGGCATTAGTTTAGACGAGAGGAAAAAAATCGGTATGGAAAAAAAAAATAAAGCACTTGTCCTCCACGAAGGAGGACATCATTTTCTTTATTCCTTTCTTTTTCTTGTTTTTCTATTTGGCTCAAAGTTGCTTCATCAAGAACCAAGTCTGTACAGTCATCGTACTGGACTCCAGTCTCCTCCTGCTAATATAATCACTGTGCGCTTTTTACCCCCCGAGACGACGACGACTGGTGGCCGACACGTTGGGAGTGGACGAGGAAAGAAACGGCAAAGGAAAAGATTTGTTGAGAAGGAAACGACGGACTTTGCTGGGACAGAGACTTTGCATCACATTTAAAAAAACAAAAAAATACAAAAACAAGAACATAAAAAATATTCCAAAAACCTTCCCAAAAAATTAGCTGGTGCAGAAAATCTTTTGTGTAGTTTATTTTTGTATTTTTAAGCATCTTTTTTGTTTTGTTTTCCCCCTCCCCTTCTGTGTGTATCTGTATGTTGTGTGCATTTTAAAAGAAATCATCACTTTTTTTAAAACTGTTGATCCCTGTAGTTTGTGTTCGCGGGGAAGAAGAGAGGTGGCCGTGTTTGAGATGGCCGCCGCGTTTCGTTTTGTTTTTTTAAATTGACCCGGTTGGTTGTATGTTCTCGTTATCAAATGGCAACGGACAGACCTGTATTTGTTCCAAGCAGAACCGCAGAGGTTATAGGACTGAAGGGAACCTGAAGTGGACCCAGGGAGAGGAGAGGGTTTTTTGTTTTTGGTCATTCTATTTGTTCAAACTTTGTTTACTTTACTTTGTGTTTGTTTGCCAAACATAATTTCCCTCGGGGTACGAGGAAAGTCATGACAAGATCTTTTCACTCTTCCTCCTCACGTCCACCCCCCCCCAATGAGTTCTATGCTTTTTATGCTCGTAAATCTTTTTTTTAACTGCAAAATTATATTAGTAGACTTATCCCCTCTTCCTAYTGATGTATGGAAATCCATTTATTAAATCTTCTTCCCTTTTTTTTCCTCACAGCTCTGTAATTCAGACTACAGATGGTGTGTAAGCTAACTGTGACATGTGAACACGTTTGTCTTTGAATGGGGATGTCTGGGAAGGAGGCCGGAGTGTACTCACTTGTAAATTAGTTCGTTCATAGAGCAAGAATAAAACAAACAAAAAAACTACCAAAAAAAAAACCAAACATCTCGGCCTTTTATATAATTACTTGTAACAAACAGTTTTTACATGTTGGTCATCTCTGGATTGCCTTTTGTGTCTTTACTTATAAAAGAATCAAATATATATATGAATATATATAGTCTCCCTGATTGTTTTGATTTGCTTTTGTCGAGCTGATTCACTGTAGGAGTCTGAATTTACTGCGAGGTTCTTCTGTACAGGGAGGTCTGTAAGGGCAGGTTTGAGTTGCGATGGGGGGAAACGGCCAGGAAGAGCCGAGGCGAGGCGGGGTTTTCTTTTCTTTTATTTTATTTTCTTCTGCTTGTTTCTCCGGCTCGCGACCCCCTTGGGTTCAGTTTGGGATTTCTCCWGATTTCTTTCTAGAAACCAACTTTTTCTCTTCATATGCATTCATAATTTTGTGCGTGTCAGTGCGTCTGTTGAACAAAACTAGACATGCATGCAAAAGCAGTGTATTTTAGTAGTGATGCCTTAAGTTAGACCATAAGCTGAAGGTTCTCAAGAAAAAAAAAAAACAGAAAAAAAGAGGAAAAAAAAACATTTAATGAGTTTGTTCTTCTCTCCATGTGGTATACAGTTGTGTCCTTTCCTTCCACAGTACCTTTGCTGGGTCACTATTTTTGCACCCTTGTTAGATAGGTCACCATCAGCAGTGCCGAGGTCTGAACCCCCTCCCCCCCACACACACACCGGGACGAGTGCCCCCCCTTCAGCACTCGCAGGTGTTGCGAGGAGTTTCTCTCGGCTGTTCGCAGGTTATCTGGAAATGTCCTGTATTTTCCAATGTGTGTTTTTTGTACTGTAGGGAGTAATGTATCTTTTATCATCAAAAAAACAAAACAAAAATAAACATGTTAAACAGAAACGGTCGTCTCCCGTCTTTGATTCAGTTTACCTCCCGTAAGCCGAGCTCCGCCGCTCTCAGGAAGGGCTTGTCCACGGCCACGTCCTCTTTGGCGCTTCCTTCAAAGTACTGCGCTCCTGTTTCCTCGCACCAGCTCAGGGCCTTTTTAYGAGACACCTGCCAAGGAAACAAATGATGGGTGGTTAAAATAAAAAGCTGCTGCTGGTGGAAGTGAGAGAAGTCATCAGTGGATGAGTCCTGGTGCGTACAGGTCAGATTGTCTGTGAATTACACAGATTTTACCCCTATTTTGTGAGATAATCGTACTTTTTTTTTCAAAAACTTCTATTCCTCCCTCCCTGCCTGCCTGTCGTGGAAATCTTTCTTTACCCAARATAGAAACGTGATCCAAGAATAAAAAGTACTCCGTGAAATGGTCGATCAGGAATTATTACAATTGCAAGACACACATCATGTCACACAGGGCAGTGGTACAAAATGKGTGCCCTGAGGTTGTTTCAAATACACACATTTGTGTATGTTATCCAACAGACAATAAACATCTGTCGTGGTGCCGAAACTGGGCCAAGAAGAGAATGATGTTTGATAAACTGCAACAAGAATGATTACTCCTAAATAGATATCGTTCTGGTTGTGAAACACTTTATCTGAGAGGATAAAGAGTAAAATCATAAAACATGATGACATTAAGGTAAGCAAAAGAGGTCACTGACTTTTGACCTRAGAAGTATGTGGGACTTTAGRGGGTAAGTTATTTTTCCAAGACACTGCCCCACCTCATCTCCCTGCAGGTGACGGCCCCCGTATCATGACCCTGTACTACGGCTTTTTGTGAAAACAGATTTCTGAGGGTGGAGATGTAGGTAAATCCCTGAAAGGGTTATATTGTATGCTGATGATCAACGGTTTTCAGTCAGAGCCACTAGCTTGTTTTTCATTAATTCTTTCACTACACATTTAGATAMTGCATGACCTCTGGCATCTGTCAGGGTGTGCTGCAGCACACCTTGCACCCCAGCTTCCCACGGCCTTCATTATAAAAAAGCCTTTCAGTCACATCTGGATTTGCCCTGTTTCGGGCGATGCTAACATTTTTTTTTTGTGCCCATACCCCAATTTTTTTTTCTCGACCCTGAGAATCAGGCTTTTGGCTGTGATAGAATTTCTCTGTGGGGTGGAGGGAGTTCATCTCTGCTGTTTGCAGATGATGTGGTTCTGTTGGCRTCATCGTACAGTGATCTTCAGCTCTCACTGGAGCGGCTCGCAGCTGGGAGGAGGATTAGCACCTCCAAATCTGAGGCCATGGTCCTCAGTTGGAAAAGGGTGGATTGCTCTCTTGGATTCGGGGTGAAGTTCTGCCTCAAGTGGAGGAGTTTAAATATCTTGGGGTCTTGTTTATGAGTGAGGGAAGAATGGAGCGTGACATTGATAGACGGATCTGCTGCTTCAGCTGTATTGTTGACTTTGTCTGTTATGAGATGAGCTGTAAGCTCTCTGTTTACCAATCAGTCTAMGGTCYTACACTCAACTATGGCTACAAACTTTAGGTAGTGACTGAAAGAACAAGATYGTGGATATAAGTGGTCAAAATGAGTTTTCTCTGCAGGGTAGCTGCTCACTGGGTTCAGCTCCAAACAGAAACTATGTGCTCACGTCTGTCAGGTGATGGATGATGCCTGGAACACTTCACCAGGGAGGCGTCCAGGAGGCATCCTTACCAGATGAACCACCTCAACTGGCTCCTCTCGACGTGGAGGAGCAGCGGCTCTACTCTGAGCCCCTCCTGGATGACTGAGCTTCTCACCCTATCTCTAAGGGAGAGCCCAGMCACCCTGCAGAGGAAACTCATTTCAGCTGCTTGTATCYGHGATCTCGTTCTTTCGGTCACTACCCAAAGCTCGTGACCATAGATGATGGTAGGAATGTAGACCGAYTGGTAAATCAAGAGCTTTGCCTTCTGGCTCAGCTCTCTGTTTTAAGGTAAAAACTCATGTGTCRTTTTTAATGTCAAACATGAAGCTTCAGACAGATTTTACCTGCTGTAAGATAGCTGGGAGCTTACTGTCTGATCTGTCACATCATAAATAATAAGAAGTTAATTAATTTCCTCCCCTAAAATCATCATGATTAACAGAAACCATGTTTAGGTCGTGTCACAGCATGTGTTGAACTGCATTAAAAGAAATGACACAGGGTCCCTACATCTGACAGACCACAGGACGATGTCTCTGTAGAAGTGTTCACATAAAGATGCAGGTTTGTTTCAGATACCAGGTCGTCATTGTAAATGAGAATTGGTTCTCAACTGACCTGTAAAAACAAAAGTTATATAGATACTAAACTAACAAGAAGTGAAGCTGAGGCTTTGATTTAAAGCTGCAGCGCGACCCCGGCTGACTGACCTCTCTGTTGCTCAGGTCCGTTTTGTTCCCCACTACAATAAACGGGAAGCCAGATGGATCCTGAGGTTGGCCCTGGACCAGGAACTCCTTCCTCCACACATCCAGGGCGCTGAAGGTGGCCGAGGACGTGACGTCGAACACCAGGAGGCAGCAGTGGCTCCCCCTGTACAGAGGTGTTCCCAGAGACTGGAACCTCTCTGTGCCTGCTGTGTCCCAGATCTGACACACACACACACACACACAAGGACAGTTACAACGTGAATGTGTGGTTCTTCTACCTGCGTCTCTGTGGAGGTGGACAGACCTGCAGCGTGACCGAGTCTCCATTTATGTGGACAGATTTGGAGAGGAAGTCTGTTCCAATCGTGGCTCGGTACATGTTGGTGTAACGATGGTTCACATATCTGTTCATGATGGAGGATTTTCCCACACTGAGCAAACACACACACACACACACACACACACACACACACACACAC